CCAACAACTGAAAACTGCAATGTGGATATCCAATAACATTTGAATGAATAAACAAACCACAGCAAACCATGAAGTGAGAACATACGAAACAAAATCCATAGAAAAGCACTGTACAGTAATCTCACTGTACATAATCTTTAATGATTATGATTGTGAAAGAAGGCAGAGAGGTCAAATTCTGTCCAGTCATTACATACATTTTCAAAATATGACAAGACACGTGTGCTCGAAGACTCATCAGTTCATATAAGACATAAACTCTGTTCTCTCAGAGTTGCTGTGTATCAGGAATCCAGGAGGCTTTGCTGGGTCTGTGACCATCATATCTCTGTGAAGACAGGCTCAGGGGTGATGGAACTAGGGCAGAATTTGCTCTCAGGCTCTGTCCCTTGCTTACAGGCAGGACCCAAGGCAAAAGCCTGATGCCTTTTGGACTGTTTTCCCTTTTCTCACTCAAAGCTCATCAGCCTCTCCTTCTGCAAGTTTCAGAGATAGCAGTGGCCTCCCCACAGCCAGAGATCCAGAAAGGGAAAAAACAAATACTAAAATGTAAGAGAGAACATAAGAGGGAAAGAACCGAAGATGGGTCACAGTTATTTTAATGCAATCTTAGTACTCGCATCACATGATGTCTGCCACATTCAGTTATTTAAAAGTGAGTCAGGAGTTGGGGAGAGAGCTCAGCATATAATACTTGCTTACCATGAATGAGTCCCTGGGCTCAACTTCAGCACTGCTAATGCAAAATAACGCTAATAATAATAATAATAATAATAATAATAATAATAATAATAATTCACTAAGTGAGGCCCATAATGTAGGGAATGGACTACTCAGCTTTTTTATCTTCTAGTCCAAAGCATGGGCATCTTCAGAGCATTTATTTTCGAAGGTGTTATGGTTTGTATCTGGGTGTCCCCACCAAAGCCTTATGAAGTCACAGAGGCAGCTAAACCTAGCATCTGTGATTGGTTCAATGTTTAGTGCTGTGATTGGTGATGAAAGTGCTTCACCTTCCCGGGGTTTGAATTATCGGAGTAAAAGAGGTCTCACCAGTCCATGTGAGAGAAGTGAGAAAGTCTTGTAATTTAAAAGGAAATCACAACCTGTGGCCAACAGGTGCAGAAAACATTCGGCCTCCCAAAGTTGATTCACCCAGGCACAAATCACTGAGATGTGTTGTGTCCCCATCCAAAGGCACATTTTTAAGGCAGGAGCTGAACAGCACTGGAGAGCACATGGGGGAGCAGAGTCCTGTCCTGTAGCTCCCATCACAGCTATATACAGAGCCATCCTTAGACCTCAAAGGACTAAGAAGAGAGGTTTCTATAACACAGAATGCTACACAAATTTTCAAGGTTTCTTTCCAAGAGTGTGATTCACAGTACTGCTTGAAGCAGGAAGGAACTGGGACCCTCCCTTGCCTTTACGTAGACCATGCACAAGAGAGCTGTTTGGAGGATGCCGTGCCTGATTGTTGGAGGGAACTCTGGCCAGGGCCATAGAGCTGCAGGTCTAGGGGTGAAAAACTCATAGCACAGCAAGGTTTTTCATGGGCTAACCAGTGCGCTGGGAGTCTACACTGCAAACCAGTTCTTCGGAACACCAGGGACAACAATGAGCAAGGGCATTTGGATGCCAGAGTGGTCAGTCAGGTGAGAGGCAGCCCTGACTGACACCCTGAGCAGAGTATCCCTCTGGAGCTGAACCCCCAGCAGGTCCACCTCACTTCCTTTACAGGTCTGTCAACAAGGACATCACACAGGAGCACAGCAACACAATTGAAGTTTGCTCAAACTAAATCATTTAGCTTCCTTTTGAAGAAATTTTTGAAAATGCACAAGTCCGAGAAAAACAAGGCTGAGAACAGCATTCTGCATGTGTGTAAATAAACTGACCCTTTACAAATCATGGAAATAATGCCTGTGGGTGAGTCTGCAATGGCAGAGATGTGAAACCTCATGCATGCAGGTTTCACAATTGCAAAAGAATGACTCCAAATAAATGCTACATGGACATGACTTCCCTTTGGCACTGCACTACAGCAATCTAGATTTACTGAGCCACCTCAGTAAACCCAAGGCAAAACCCAACAGACAATTCCATCACCCAAATGTGAGGGTTCAGCAACTCTGCTCCCTGTTTGATGCTACTGCTGGTTGAAAATTTCAAGGTGTTTCTATCTGCACAAGCCATCTCTGCCCCTGTCAGCTCATGATTGCCTGGGTGTGGATCAGACTATGTCTTTACATAAAATCCCATCATGATTTCAGGATGAGTAGCATTCTCTTGTTTACTGGAAATTATTTTTGACATTTGGGTGTAAGAAACCATAGACCATGTGCTTAGCAAGTTGAGGGGAAATGAGATTGTTTGAAGTAAATGTAGGAAACTCATTTGTCAGTGGCAGATTCAGTTGGTACCGAAGCCCATATGTTATGGGTAAACAGGCATGAGCCAGGGTTTGCTGTACAAAATGCTGGAAGGCACAGCAGTGTCCCCAAGTTCAGTTTCTGCTTTGATTCCCTCATTCTACCAAGCTGGAGAGTGGATTCTCAGAATTCAAGCACATAGGGTTTGAACTACAGTAGAAATCTGTTAAAACTTCTGTTAACTGGGGAGTGAAAAGACAAGGAAATGTTTTTTGACTAAATGCAGTTCTAAATATCTGCTTAAATAAACAAAGAAGCCAGAAAAATATAACAACAAAAAGAAATGTAATGACAATATTGTGTTTTGTTCCAATGCCACTGCCTCAGTCTCAAAGACAGGAGCAAAATTTGCAGAGTAGAAGGGTCACTGAAGACAGTGGTCTTCATGGTCTTCATCTCCAGAGGTGCAGAGTGGGTGCCCTGCCCACTAAGCCAGATGAATTCAGGATAGCACCTTAATCCTGGTGGAGGCTGAGACCAGGACCCAGGACGTGAGGCCCCCAGGGCTGGGGAATAAGAGGTTTTGCTGCATCCTGGCTGCTCTGCCTTCCCTTGCCTGCAGGGCTGCAGCATGGATGAGGTGGAGAAAAGGGTGTAAGGGAAGCAGTGCTAGGCTCCTGTGCAAACTGCACATTCCCTGTGCTGCCTGAAAGCAGCAAGATTCAGGATTTCCTTGCTGGAAAAATAGACACTGAAGAAAATCTCTTGCTGTCCTCTGGCAGTAGCTGGCACAGGTCAGCTCGGTGGCTTTCATGGTAGGAAGGGCAGGGACACCCTCCACCACAGGATCCTCATGGCTTTATGTGTTGGAATTTTTTGAAGTTAGTCATGAGCAATGTGTTGGCTTGCTGAATAACAAGCCTCCTTATTTTATGTTTACAGTGATATTTGAAGTGTCTCTATTGTGCATAACTTTCAGTATATATAATGAAATAAAATAATCCATTTTCACATACCTATTTAAAAATTAGCCACAATTAAATATTAACTGATTTGAATAAAAGAAATATTGAATAGAACACTCTAAATAATGCAATGGAATGGAAAAATGGAAAAAAAAAAAACCAAAAAGGCTTCCCCCCCCAGGATTAGTGGTCTGCCCTCCAGGAGCTCCTCTCATCTGTCCTCACCTACTATTTAGGCCTGGGTCTCTTCATTGCTGGGTGAAGAGAGGGCCAGGTTTTGAGCTCTTCTATCATCTCAGGTCGGATCCAGGACATGGCCTAGGATAAGGCCTTCTTTCAGCATTTTCTGTGACTATAATTGTATAATTCACTCAGCAGCTCTGCTGTGGTACATTCATGGTTTCTAACTATGCACACTCATAACTGAATAAAAAGAGATCACGGGTGTCTCTCAGTCTCAGTTTTTATAATGAGGCCATAGAAGTGGAATTTCTAGGTTAAATGTATATAAATTGAATTTCCTGATGATAAAATTCACACTAAACCTCACCATAGAGTTGGAGCCTGGAAGGGGAAGCATGGGGCTGCTCAGATCTCTGTGGAGATCTAAAATTGGGGGAAGATAGACCATGCAGATGTGGAGGACACCACGGCATCTATTAGTGTACCATGGGCAAGAAAGGCTCAGGTCCAGGACTCCTGATCCATCAGTCAGCTTCTCAGCAAACAGCATACACAACATGCTGGATAAGAGAGGGCTATTGTGGCCCTGCTGCCAGAGCTCTGCCCTGCAGTCCTGAAGCCCCATGTCTCATACAGGGGAACTCTGTACAAGAAGATCAGCATGTTTCAGAGATTACCTTGACTGAATGTCTTCCACCCAGGTGAGATCTCAACTGCCACATGTGGATTCCCCACAGCTGTGGAGCAGGACAGGTGTTTACAGGCAGCAGGTCAGGAAGTGGAGACACTGCAGGCAGGCAAGGGTACAAAGCCTGAAATAAGTGGCCTGGCCCTAGCCTGCCCCAGTGTCCTTCAGGAGTAACTGCACCCTGCAACAATGTGCTTTAAAAGACTAAATAACTTAACAGATTACTCACAAAAATATATACTGTAGGGGTAGTTTGAAGATAAAAAAGTAAATTGCTATGTCCCTAAGTAAAATGTGATGTGACCCTTAATTGGTACGTGATCTCCTATGGTGTCCCTGACCCACACTCTCAGAAGAAAACACAGCATTTGACATAGCATTAACAAACGCAGGTAATGAGTCAACAATCACAACTGCCTTATTTCACTTACAATCTGGCTGCTGAAAGTGTCTCCACTTGCTTACGTAGCCAGTGGTTCTACCGAGTGTGAATTCTTTCATGTGTTTTGCAATAACTGTGTGTGGTAAAAGCTTTGCCACATTGTTATATACATAGGGTTTCTCACCAGTGTGGAGTCATTGATGTATTTTACAAAATCCATGTGTGGTGAAAGCTTTCCCACATTCTTCACATAAACAGGGTTTCTCAACAGTGTAAATTTTATAATGTATTGGACAATGAGCATTTCTGCTGAAACCGTTCCCACATTCCTTACATATATAAGTTCTTCCCAGTGTGAAGTTTTTCATGCATTATGCAATATGTACTTGTGCTCAAAAAATTAATGATGCTTACATACACTGGTTTTTTCTTGAGTGTGAACTTTCATGTTGCTTACAATTTCCCTGTTGTTTAAAAGCTTTCTCACATTGCTTACATACATATGGTTTCTCGCCAGTGTGAATTCTTTCATGTTGCTTACAATGTCCATGTCGGGTAAAAGCTTTCCCACATTGCTTACATACATAGGGTTTCTCTCCAGTGTGAATTCTTTCATGTTTCTTAAAATATCCCTGTGTGTTAAATGCTTTCCCACATTGCCTACATACATAGGGTTTCTCTCCAGTGTGAATTCTTTCATGTATTTTACAATTTGCCCGTGTGTTAAAAGCTTTCCCACATTGCTTACATACATAGGGTTTCTCTCCAGTGTGAATTCTTTCATGTTTCTTAAAATCTCCCTGTGTGTTAAAAGCTTTCCCACATTGCTTACATACATAGGGTTTCTCTCCAGTGTGAAGCCTTTCATGTTTTTTACAATCTGCCCGTTTGTTAAAAGCTTTCCCACACTGCTTACATACATATGGTTTCTCTCCAGTGTGAATTCTTTCATGTATTTTACAATTTGCCCGTCTGTTAAAAGCTTTCCCACATTGCTTACATACATATGGTTTCTCTCCAGTGTGAATTCTTTCATGTTGCTTACAATTTCCATGTTGGGTAAAAGCTTTCCCACATTGCTTACATACATATGGTTTCTCTCCAGTGTGAATTCTTTCATGTTGCTCACAATGTCCAGATTTGTTGAAACCTTTTCCACATTGCTGACATACATAGGATTTCTCTCCACTGCAATATTTTTCATGGATCTGAACATTGTGGTGTGTTTCTGCTTCTTTCACATTCACATTACCTTCTGCAGTACAAAGGAATACTTCTTTACACTGATTCCAAGATGTATGTCCATAGGATTTCCCTAGCTTTACATTTCTGTTTTTAAAAAATCACATATAGGATTGATAACCATATTACTAAGTTTTCATGGGAGAGTTGACCAAAACTGTTTGCAGTCTCACTGTTTGAATCCCCACTTCATATGTTTCACTTTTGTATTTCATTAACTATTTCTATTAGCAGCATAGGTAATCACTGTCTTTAGATTTCTTACTGTTTATTTTCACTTTGAAAGGGGTATTATTTCTACTTATTTTGTTTTTTTTTCTCTTTCCTTACATTAAATAAAAAAAAACAAAAATCCACAGTGAAATGGGTCTCAGTTTAATGACTGCATTAATGTCAAGTTCTGCTTTTAATGTCTGCAAAGAATTTCTGAACATGAAGTAACAGAATGGCCTTGTAAGACATGTTGAAAACAACCATTCCCAAAAGAATGCTACAGATTTGGAAATCTTAAAATTTGGTACCTTTTCAAATGCAGAATCTTTAGCTTCATTTTGGGCAAGGATACATATGTGTATCACATACAGTTCATTCTGATATATTTCCACATCACAATCTCCCTTCTGTCCTTAACCTGTAGTTCCTTTTGCCATATGGTCAGTCTTACTTTTCTCTTTTAACTCTCTTTCATTTCATTCCACAATTTATATTTTGGTTTCTCATCTAAAAGAAATCCTGTGACCTTTTAGGTTTTATAGCTGAGCTATTTCACCGAATTGATGGGAGAAAGAACCACCTATTTCTTATGGCAAATGACATTATATTCTTTATTTTTTGACATTATATAACACGTTTTTTTCTTTTCCATGCTGGGAATGAACAACAGCTATTAGCATAAAATCTATAGCTTTTTAAATGTGTTGTAAGAGATTTTCGCTGATCATTAAGCTGTGAAATTTGAACTTGAATTTGCCATTGTGCAAAATCTGATTCCTAATGTGCTGGATTTACAAGAATGCACAATCACAAAGAGTCTATTAACATTTTCCTTCTCCACAAATCCAGTGATAGATAGCTAAGCTCCTTCAAGGCCTGATCTATTATAACTTGATCTGCTTTGTATATGAGTAAGCATGTATCAGTATTTTATGTGCATTTTGAATTTTTAAAAATACATCCAGGACAAGTATGAGTGGATCAATTTCTAGAGACAACTGCACACTGATATTCAGAATGAGTGCACTTAACATTCTACCAGCCTTCTAAGAATTTTAGTCAGAATGGCTGATTCTTCAGAGCATGGCTTGGAAACACAAGAACTCCATTTTATTTCAAATTCTATTGCAATCTTAGCAATTTTTAGATGATGAGTGTGTTGTATTCACATGTATATATGGATAGAAAAACTGAAGGAAGAATGTCATAACTCAAAGTGTATGCCTTTCATACACATCTATATGCAATGTCATACATTTTCTTGATTTAATCCACTCATTATACATACCCTAGCTTATAAGTCTTCAGAGAATATTACTGACAATAAATTGAATGGTGCCTCATTTCTTTGGCGGTCATTTTTCTGCTGACTCACTAATTACTCAGAAACATTACTTCTCCTTATGAGTGCGAATTACCTTAAGTATCTCCAGTAAATTTTGCATTCTTTTCCAGCTTCCTGGATATCCCCAAGTCCTCCTGAATTGTAGACATAGAAATACCAGCACTCATTAGAATAATACATACAAATTAACAGATTTTGTTTAGAGTTATGACATAATGTGTCCAGGTCTGAGCTATTTTTAAGAATATTTTCACATTGTTTTTAATGAAACAGCAACATACAACATTCTGACAGCATGAGTGACAAAAGTATTTTGTCCTTACCAATTGCAGTCATGTTCCTAAAGGTTTCGTCCATCACATCTCTGTAGAGGTTCTTTTGGGATGGACTCAGCAAAGTCCACTCCTCATTGCTGAAGTTCACAACCACATCCTCAAAGGTCACCACCTCCTAAAGGATCATACATATATTTCTCACACGAAGGTTGAGACACCAAGTTTGGGATATTCTAAATTCTCTCCTACAAATCTGAATCAAAAGCAAAGTGTGGTGGTATATATCTATAATGCCAGCACTCAAAGGGCTGAGGCAGGATGGTTTCAGTGAATTCAGGGCAATTCTAGGGTGTTCAAATCTAGCTGATATACATATAGAAAGCTTGTCTCAATAAAACAAAACTAAACTAAACAAATACAACCAAACAAACAGCTGAATGAAGACTGATTTCTGCAAATTTAAATCCATGTCTTGGTCATTAATTTTGTGTATATACATATTTTTGAAGAAAGCAAATTTGATGATAGATTGCAACTCACTGCTAATGTAACAGTGAAATAGGAGCACTGATTCTTGTGCTGAGTCACTGCAATATTCCCTGTGTACTGTCTCTAATGCAGAGCTCACAGTGAGAAGCCTGCAGGACCAGCATCCACAAAGCACAGAGGCAGATAAATATCCCATTAATCAACTGGGAAGCCAAGCAAGCACCTCCCTTCCCTGGTAAGTGGTGGCGGTGTGGCGGACTATGGCCCATCCAGGGGGCAAACCATCAGCATCTTCTGAGATGCATGCCATGCTGGAATTTAGGACACTTGGAAGGCAAGCAAGCACCACTTCTCCCTGGTAAGTGGTGCAGGTCTGGCAGAATGCTGCCCTTCCAGGGGGAGAACCAGCAGCAGCTCCTGAGATCCACACCATGTGGGAACTTAGTATGCTGTTAAACAAAACAACCAGCCTGTCTCCCTACTAAGCAATAGTGAACCTACTGATGCACCACCTAGAATCAAACATCCCACTTCCCTACCCCTTTTCTCCTGTCACTCCCCCCCCCCTCGTTAGCAAATGGGAACCAGAAATCTGAGCGACTCCTGGGAAGCAGACCAAAACAAACAAGGGGGACTTCCTTCTACTGTCTCTTTGAAGGCAAATATTTTTATTACTGTTTTTCTCTTTTCTGATTAATGGTATTGTTCTATTCAATATTCTGTTTTGATAAGTACTATAATATTCTGTATTTCATCTCATTTTGATATATGTGTTTGAAAGAACAACTATTGGGGCTGGGGATTTAGCTCAGCGGCATAAGCACCTGCCTTGAAAGGAGACAGTCGTGGGCTCGATCCCCGGTACTGATAAAAAGGAAAAAGACAAAAAAAAAAAAAACTATTATAAAGATAATAAAATATACTGTGATATCTATTAGTGTTATCACAGTAATCAGTTTTGCAGTTGTGTACCAATTTCACTGTATGATCTTAGTTGGCCTTATTCTGCATTGTTCTGTTGTATTTTACCACTTTCAAAATTTAAAAAAAAGAAAAAAAAACCTCATCAATCACTTTGATAGGCTGCAGATAATGTCTCTTCAAATCTCATTTAGGCCAGTGAATACTTTGTTCTTAATATACTTCAGCAGCATTTTGAAACATGAATTTGGTTTCATAGAACAAAACATAAATAGCATCCAATATGGTACACAAATAATAACTCAAATGTTAGTGGAAAATGCTGTTTTCAAAAAATAAGTATATAAAATGGAACCAGGCCCAAGCTGTAATTTATAACTCACTGTCACCAAGCGTTCACTTTCAATTCAGATATAAGGAATATATCTTGTGAGGCTGGCAAAGGACTTCTTCCTTGAATTTGGGGCTATCCTAAGTTACAAAGCTGTCTAACATAGAGAAACCCTGACTGTGACACCCCACAGACAAACTGAAACTTGAAAAGAGACTGCATAAGACACCTTTGGTTTGTTTTTAAAAATTATAGCCATATAATATGGAAAAATTCCAACAATATTCAACACTTTCTGGGAAACAATGTGGATATCTTCCATAAAACAAAGAAAACACTTTCATAGTTGGGTATTTAGCTCAGTGGCATGAACGCCTGCCTGGAAAGCATAGGTCAGGAGTTCGATCCTTGGTACAAAAAAATCCACATTTTACCTTCATGACACTGGGGCATAATTAGAGATAATCCAAATTAGATCTCAAGTATGGAACAGAAAATTCATGGGTTGGCAAGGATGTGAAATACTGATTGTTGCCAGAGCTGGTGTTGATCACCTCAAGGAAGCAATCAGAACCCAACTTTAACTTCACACTTACTCTAAGAACTACATGAATTTCAGTGAAGATCATCTCTGTTGTATGTCCTGCTATTGGCTTCCTGCATTCTGTCAGTCACTTGCACATCCTTTCCACGCTCTTCTGATCCATCCTCAGCAGGAAACCCTTCATGACTAACTATTGATGTCACTGCAAAATTTCTGTTTAGAGTTTCTCCTTTACACCACTTGGTAAATTCCATTGCAGAGCATTTCCATATTTAAACTATGAACAACCAAGCCACTAAATCAGCTCTTAATTCAGAGATGACACACCTTTTCCTTTCCATTCAGAAGGATATCACGTGTATATGTCCATGCAAATGCCTAAATTTCAGCATTTTTCGATGAGAATTTAACAGGTAGCCCTTTCTGGAATTTGTCCTTCACAAATTTTTACCCCGTCCTTGATAACACTTTCATATTTGCTTCATTTTTCTCAGATTTCAAAACTCTATGGCTGTTCTCACAAACCTATTCTGTGAGCAAGGGTGCCACCTAAATAATTAAGTATGTTCAGAAATTATTTTGCACTGATCTGTATAATACACAGGAGTTCACCAGTTGTTTGGGAAGACTTTTTCCACTGAGGCACACTACTACACATCTCTGCATTCTCAGGAACTTTGCCACTACCTGTCATGAGGATGGAAATATGAGAACATACTATAAATTGAGGAGATCACTATAAATACAAAATGCCC